ATCGGCGGATACTCTACGCGGCGGATTGTGTTTTGCCGTTCGACGTCGATACGACGATCTCGGAGCACTAGGCGACGGGGACGTTCATTGTCTGACGTTTCTAAAGGGCTTATTCGACATAGATGCGCTGAAAGGGATAAAGGCACTCTTCTGAGATTCTCGTATATATGTAGGTGAGAGAGGCGGAAATGTTGAAGAACGGTTTGTACCGTGTCGCTTTCCGCCGCGCGAAAACGTTTGACGGGGATCGCAGACAGTTCGCAGCGATCGAACGCTATACGGACATAAAACGCATAAAACGCGCAGCACTTGGGAGTGACGTTCTCATCAAATCTCGCGTGCCGCGAGATCTCTCACGACGGCACGTGTATGTCGCGCTGCTGCAAAATCGCGTGTGCGTGCAAGGTGGAGTACGCGGAGCGTATAGCTTTCCGCAAAGACGCGGGCCGAGCCACCGCCGCTTCGGCCTCTTTTTCCTCAAATCTTGTTCCCCACAAAAGTCGGCAAAGTGGAGCGACACGTAAGAACCGTCCTCGAGTTTTTTTTCTCCTTTTTCACGGCGGTGCATGCAGTTTTCGCAATTTTCCATTCGCCTCCCGTCTCGCGAATAACACGCGGATATTTGCAAGGAGAAGCAAGCGTCGAGCAACTGGGGGTAAGAAATTAGTTAACAAACGTCAAGTTCTACATGAGCGCGGCTTTCCTCATCGCAACGTAGGCAATCCTCGTGAGAGGAGAAAGATGTGAAAGATATTGGAGCTTTCAGCTCCCCTTGGTATGCGAGGTGTTACACGCTCGCCGACGTGTCCACGCGCAACAACGGCTCGCAAACATCGCGTGAACGATAAAAAATAGCCAACCGCGGTGAATAAGTTGAGGAAAGATTACCGATATATAGTGGCGCTCAACCGGCACGACACCTCAGCGGCAATAAAGGCCGGCAATCATCATGCATAGTTTATTTGGAGAGCACGCGCGGGAAACAAAACAGCGAAGATACCATCTCCCACGGGGGTTGTCCCACGTTGAAGGAAGACGAGCGAGCGGGCGCCATTAAACAACGAGAAAAAGGGCGACACGTTCGCCGTACATTTCGAAATATCGGAAGCTATCGGTTAAAGCTGAGGAGAAGTTTGAAAAGAGTGTCGCTGGCAATTACGAGTAGATACGAATCTCGTCCTCTCGCCGAGAGATCCCTCCTCTCTCGGGAGAGAGGGCGCCCGTCGCAAAACATTAGCCAACTTTGTCGATAGTGACAACAATGGTGGCAACGGCCGCGATACTATCGCGCATTTATGCCGGATATTCGCGCGCGCCCTACATCTCGACGGTCCGAATCTCAAAAATGTAAAGTGCAAAAATGTAAGCCGCCGCTCGATCCGCGCTCTCCGCCGCTTTACGATATAAACACACCGACGAATGCATCGCGCAAGAACAAACGCGAGCTGTGCGTTATTCGAGCGCCAGAGAGAGAGAGAGAGAGAGAGAGAGAGAGAGAGAGAGAGAGAGAGAGAGAGAGAGAGAGAGAGAGAGAGAGAGTTTCCGAAACAAATACTCGTCGCGCAGAAATGTTTGCAGACCGCGCGTATAAATGCGCGGTTTCGCGGCGGAAGGTGAGTCAGATATTTTCTAAGAGAGTCTCGCTTCGGCCGGGAGGTCTCTTTTTTAACTCGGTCTCACCGGCGGACGCGAGTCGCGCATATTTTACGGCGGAGTACGCGCGAGAATCCATTTCCATTCGTCACCGTGTCGATACCGCTTTTTCTCACCGTTGATCCTCTCTATCGTTCAAGATAATAGCAATTTATCACGAAGGCTCCGCGCCATCGCGGCTGTCAGATTCGCGCGTCGGCTGCGCTTCTTTCCTCCTCGGCGGCGTTACAGTGTCTGCTGACACGGAACATTAAACCACAAAGCTGTCATCGGTGTTTACAAGAAGGGGGCAATTTGCGGTTTAACTCGCGATCCGTTTGTCTCTGCGGTGTGCAAGTGTTAATCCAATTTACGCTTACAGCAATTTTAACGCTTTCGTTCCACGTAATATCATGGTCGCAAATCCGGCGTTTTCTATGATTTTCCTCGCCTCGAAGTTCTGTCTTAATCCGGCTATTAGTTAAAAATATTTTCACTCGTATAATGCTGAAAAACAAAAAAAAGGGGGAAGTATTATGTACCGACGCGCAAAGAACGGTTTGCGAGTCGCGCGGATGAAAGGGAGCGAAAGAGAGTGTCTCCTGCAGCGAGTTTCTCGGTTGAGATTTATCGCGACGTTTAGTTGCAACACTCCTCTCTTTAAAGGCTTCTAATAATAAAAGAGCAACACATACGAGACCGCACGCTAAGGAGATTGCCTTTGGATTCATGCCGCTAACTCGATTCGCTCACGAGAATTACGGTTCTTTAGAAAGTCCGGCGTGCTCAGTCTTAATAAACGCTGCGTTGGCGTGCTGTGCACCGCGCGCACGTGTTCTGGTCCTTTAAAGCCGCAGCGCGCACGCGCGTGCGATCAGCGTGGTCAAGTGTATTATTATTAGCTATCAACGCGGCAGCAGAAGAAATTTCGCGTTCCGTAAGTTTCTTAACGTTAACGCGTTTTCAGTCTTCTGACGTTTCGGAATTGACTAATTTTCTCCCGGAATTAAAGAATGTTCTGGACTTGCGTTGGTAATATTGCAAAATTGCAAAACGCCATTTGCAATGGAAAAAGTGCAAAGAAATAGTGGGCAATTTTCTTTATGTTTCTGGAAATTAATTTAATTTATTTCGCGCAATTGTATCGAGAGGAGATAATGTAAAAAGATCGCAGATGTGTGCATATTGATATCCTTGTGAGTTTGGAATTTGCTGAGATCGCTGAGATGTGATCAATCGTCTTGCACAATTGCGTCTTCTTCTTATCTGAGAAGATAAAAATTGAATTATTAGTTGCGTGACGTTAATGCTGACCACGTTGATGTTGAGTTATTACGGTCTCTGTGATTCTCATCCATTAATAAAGTGAAGAGAATAAAATGATATCATTATGTAAATTACTGAGTGAGAGCTAGTGAAGAGGTATTATAGCTCCATTACGAGTCGCCCATTGCAGAGACGCAATTAACGATATTCATTACGAACCAACCGTATCTATCGCGCTAATTTGACAACTGACACGAGAAGCAGAATATATGTCAACCGCAGTTTGAAGCATGGCTGACATCTTAATCATCGCAGATGAATTATGATCGATGTAAGGTTCGTACTTGCACAACACGGATCGATTGCAAGGGGAATGCAGCGTTTTCCACCTATTTGTACAAGCCCGATATTCGAGTGCGAATAATTCCATCTACCTCGTTTTTGTATACATAAGAAGACGAAATTTTCGTTGAATTCGTATGAGCAAATGTTAGCACGTGAAATCATCATTGAACGTATACATATGTAATTCTCATCACCGTGCAAACCGCTTATTTTTATAGTACTTATTTGTCCAATATTTTATGCCTCGTAAGTTATGAATGCTTCGCAAATTATAAATGCCTCGTAAATTGTAAATGCTTCGTAAATTATAAATTAGCCGGGCAACTCGTGGACTGAAAAATTTATAGCTCGAAAATGCTTCCGTCATCGTGAAAAATATCCGTATTACGCGTGTATCGTTCTCGCTGCTGAGCGGCGGGCGATTTTCGCCTTATTTCATACGCAACAGGTTTTCGAGTCCTGCAATCGTGCTTCAAGTGTTATTTTTTCTCTTTTACGATGATTAATTTGTCCTCCGTAGACGTAGAAATGAGCGAATGTAAGGTTCAATCAACATCACCGGTGAGTGCCGAACGCGAGTTTACGCAAGCTGATTGTCTCCCGTAAACAGAGATCTCGCGAAAGTCATGGATATGCATGACACACGTCGTTCGTTAAGCCGGTAGTCGCGTATTCAGAATATCGCCGGGAACGTGCCGCAAAGATGACGGGCCAGCGACGTGCGCCCTTGGAAAATAGGTTCTCACTTTGATTCCATCCTGAAAACTTTCGTACGCCGCCGTATTTTCATATCGCCGACTCCCCGCGGTATGTTCGCGCAAGCGATATGTTCGCTGCCTCGAGCTCTCGACGCTGGATATCCGCGGCGTTCTCGAACTTTAATTGCACCGGACTAAATTATGAACGCGTACCGTGTCGGCCTCTGATACAGTCTTTTTTTTATTTTCTCCTTTTTCCCCTTTTTTGGGTAAAAAACCACTCTCATATCGTCGAATGGAGAGGGATGCGCTAAGGGCTCAATTCCTCCTCGTCCAGAACGATTGGTCGACTTCCAACTTCCGAAAGCATCCACTCGGAGAGACCCAATGAAAACGTAACAAGACGTGGAGTAGGTAGCACTCGTGTAAAAGTTGGATCGAGGAGTCCCTGCTTCCTCTCGCAGCTCGCAGTCCTACGCGAGATCCGCTCGCGGAAACCCTCGAGCTTTTTTTGTTCCGCGCTCTTTCGAGTTCGCCCAAGCTCCATTCGCGTTGAATAATTGCTCGTTACGGCGCGCTAGAGGTCTTTCTCTCACTCATCTTACCGGGCCGCCACCCGTTCGCAGCTCGAAGAACGCGCGATACTTCGCGCTTTCTTCACAATAATGGTAACGACGTCCCTTGTAATCGCTCACTCCGCTCAGGCAACTTGAGGTCTCGCACACGCCGATGTACGAATGACACTTGACTTTTCACCCGGTTTTTTTCGCGGCACTCGAACGACCCTGAATCTCCTTCGGACAGGGACGCTTCGATTCGTAAGGTAAGCGCGAGTTTCAATGTCATCCCGGTAATTAACGCGCGATATACGTTTTCGCGGCAAATAATTCACCGAATTTTCTCTCTCTCTCTCTCTCTCTCTCTCTCTCTCTCACCCTCTCCGCGAGCAGACGAATTTAACTCTAGCCGGATATACTTGTAAAAAAAGAGACATCGAGTATATACGTATCCAATAGCTATTCTCACACGAAGCCCGTCTTCGTCTCTCTCTGCTTTCAGTGCGATTCCGGTGTGGCTGTTGACAGATTCTTTCACGCGCTCTACTCGACGAGGAAAAAGCATCTGATGCCGTTCCTGCTCGGCACCGCTTGTTCTGAAGTTACCGAGACACTGGCCAAAATTGTGCCCTATTGGAACGTGATTCAAGTATCGTTTGGTTCGACAGCGCCGGCCCTCTCGGATTCCAACGAGTTCCCCCTGTTCCTCCGCACCGTCGCACCGGACTCCAGTCACAATCCCGCCAGGATAGCGTTGATCAAACACTTCGGATGGGACACCGTTACGGCGCTCTCGCAAACGGGCGACATGTATTCCTTGGTAAGTAGACCGTAAGGAATGAGCCGCGAATGAACCGAGTGAGCCGAATTCGCGGGACGAATTTATCGGGACAGCTTCGAGCTCCGGCGGTTTCCCGTCATTTTAATAAACCGCACCGGAAATAGCTCGTACCGTGACACGTATACGTATACTCCGCGACATATATACACCCATCACGTCGCGTTTCCCGTCGGAGCCGCGCACAACTACTTTTAAATTCACCTTCGCTCAGCCCGAGAAGCTTCTTGGGGATGTACGTGTACATGTCGTTTTTTGCAGAGTCATAAATGAAGTTGACGTATAACTGACGATGCTTCATAATTTTTACATTATGGAGTTTAAGAGGATGGGAGGGGAGAAAGCGTGAGAGCATGAAATATCATTAATCAACGCGGACTGACCAAAATTGTTTTCAATCGGGGGAGACGCGAAAAATCGACCGGTTCTCGCGCGAAGAGCCGCGCTCAGATGCTGCTGCGGTTGACGTTAATCGCAATTGAAATTCACAGCGAAAATTTTCACTTACACGCGTATATCCGGTGGCATATCGGCGCGTTTCACGACGCGAACATCCGGGTCGGATGAGATGAAATTCGATAGCCGAAATAGCGCCAAGCGCAGCGCAAGAGTAGACGATAACGCGGCCGCGGTTCGCGCGACATATTTATACGTGTATATCGCTGTCTCGCGCGACCGCGTATTTAATTGCGAGATTTGCGAGCCGCATCGCGCCGAAGTCCGTCCCTGCTTCCTCCCCCCTCCCGTCCCCCCCCCGCCCCGTCGTTGGAGTGTGACCTGCGGTCTGTAGTAAAGTTCCCGTCATGTCGGCTTTAATTAACTTTCGATTTGTATCGCACGCGCGGCTAACCGGCATTCGGGTGTCGCGTTTTGGTTAATTCCCGATCAATTTCCGTCGTTACATTGTAACGGAAGCTACACCGCGCACGTCCGGCTTTAATGCACGCCGCGAATATGTAATGAATAAAGCCACGAGCGCCGCGCTAAGCGGAACGGTCATTTCGAAACACGACAGCGAGGCAATAAATCGGCGACAAGAGCGGCAATTCTCGTTGCGGCACGCCGATGTAACTGTCACATTCAGGATACCTGAGCGAAACTCGCGCTGATTCGCCCTGCCTCCGTCCACCATTCTCTCCCCCGAGCTCCGATGCGGATTTAGTCGCGGGGAAAGTCGAACCTGAAGATTTCTCACTGGACGCATCAGTCATCCGGTCGAGCGTGAGCGCCGACGCGATTCGAGCGCGATTTCGCGAACGTCGCGACGATCGACGACGCGTCGCGCTTCAGTTTACACCCGCGCTTCGTTAAAATGCAAATGTTTTCGAACCGAGCTTACGGCGCTTTCAAGACAAACGACTTGTATCCAAACACGCGTGTAGACACACATGTGTGTATAGAAATGTATGTACATGTACACGTATGTATAATCTAAGAAAACCCCGTACGCGCGCGCGCGTTCAAATCATGGAAGATACACGCATGCATACGTAATAGCTGATTTGACAATTTGCGGGATACAAACGATGCGCGACGGTAATTAAAGTCGTATGATACAAACGAGGCGTATCCTTTGGGAAGGAGCGTGTTCGGAATCTTGTAAATTCGAACGACACAAACGTAAATTCGAACACACAGACGAACGAACGAAACGGCGCTATTCTTTTCGAGTAACGAAGCGCACACGTCCTGTCGCACGTGCGCTGCCTGTGACGTATGACACGTATTTGTAAAGGTGATGTCTGAGAGACTCTTACCTCGTCTAAATAGCACGAGGTGAACAAATGTCACTCGCGCGTTTGTCGTTGACCGTCGTCGTCTCTCCTCCATCGCCTCCTCGCGCCGCACACGTGTATGACGCGCCTCTCTGTTTCAGGCGGTGAACGATTTGGTCACGGAACTGGAGCAAGCGAATATCACGTGCTCCGCCACCATCACGTTCGCCGAGAACGATTACAAGGAGCAGCTGCGAACTTTGAAGGTAAGTCGCGCTTAAACGTCGCCTTGTTCTTTCTCTCTCTATCCGTCTCTTTATTCTCTCTCTCTTTCTCTCTGCCTCTCCCTCTCTCTCTCTCTCTCTCTGCCTGTCTTCCCGCTCCTTCTCCACCTCCGCTTTCCTCCTCCTTCTTCTCCGCCACTTGGTCGTCTGCTCGCTTCTCAACGACTCGACGACGAGCATTTGTAACGATCGTTTCGCGCAGTTAGATCCGGCCGGAAGGTCGTGGTTCAGCCGGAAGCTCCGGCCGATCTCGGCCGGTGGTTCGGGGCGCGGCTGTCTTTTGACTGTAATTCGCCTCCTTTGAAATGCAAAGTTCGTTTTCGCGGAGTGAACGCAACCTGAGATATCGATTGGTGCGATACGGACGCATTGGGATTAGATTCGTATTCGCGGCATTAATGTACGCGAATTAACCCAATTTCTGATCGTGCAAACGAACGATTCAATCTCGCACTTCGAAGACGGCTGAGATGAAAGAGAGAAAGAGAAAAAAGAAAGAGAGGGAGAGAGAGAGAGAGAGAGAGAGAGAGAGAAAAAATAATGCTTGTTTATATCCATAGCCGTAAGAAAGCTCGGAATGAAAATTTAATTTGGATTAATGTTCAACTACGACGAATAAGATTTCCAACGTGCTCTCGCTCTCGCTTTATTAATATCGGCGACTGTAATCAACGTTTATCACACAGTATTAGTGATGTTCTATTCTACCAAAACTTGCGATGAAAAGTACGTACGTGAGATGTACAAACTGCCGTTTCGTTTAATTACAGGAACTGGACACCCGAATTATCATCGGTAGTTTCTCGACGCGATTGGCGCAACGTGTTTTCTGCGAGGTAAGTCGTACAAGCAAGATTTTATCAGCACGAAAATTACACACGTGTGTGCACATTTTTATAAATTTCGTGAAAGTAAAATCTCGCCGAATGAAAGAGATAAAAATCACGATCGTCGGCGGACGTTTGTACAGCGTGATAAAGAACAGCAGCGACTGCGTCCTTACGGGCTAATTAATGGCTAATTAACGGTTTTTAATGACTCTCATTACAACTCGCGCGATCCCGGCGAAAAACGCGCCGGCGTTCGGTCGTCGCGTTTCGGTAATCCATTCATTTCCAAAGTTTTCACACACACCCACATACATCAGCGGTTAGAAATACTCGCGAACGAAAAACAATTTTACGGTCGCTCTGCGTTCACCGGTAGAATGCCGAACGAGGTTTTTGCCGATGTACAAGAAGCATAGTAGAATGTAGACAGATAAACCTCCCCGAACTCGTTACATTCTCCGAGAACTTTAACGCGCGTTTTGTTACGAGCCCGACGACTATGAAATCCGGTTAAAAGTTTACCTTCTCGACGCTCATACTTTCGAACATCATTACCTATTTACCCTGATTAAGTACTCTGACATTACTTGCTTTGCCTCTTTTAGAGAATTGCTATTAATAAAAAATGATCAGAGAAAATGCTGTTTTCTCCTTCTCTCTTTTTTCCCTTTCCCTCTTTCTCTCGCAAGTTCCGTTATTAATCAAATGAAATTTTCTTCAAATTCCCGCGCATTAATAGCGAAAAATTAAAAAATCTGACGACCGGACAGATGCGTGTCAGTAATGAGTGCTCGTTCACGCGAGATTTTCATTAGACCGTTCGATAAATTGTTAGAAATGTGCAAAAATGTGTCAAGTAACGCGAGTAAAGCAGCTGCGATAAACGATCACGCATGAAATAACGCATCCATCGCACATATAACCTGAATTTATGATATCTATTCAATGATAAGGATTCATCCACGTGCTCCCGTCCGTTGGACATGCGGCACATCAACGATTTCCTTTCGAACATCGGAAGAGCCAAGCCCGCTCGGCGGTCCCCAGAGTTTCCGAATTTTACGAGCACTCGACCGTAGAAGCGGTTTGTGACGGTGATTTTTTTCTTTTTTTCTTTCTATTTCGTGAGCGCCTACAAAACCGAACTGGAAAGGGCCGAAACACGCTTCTACGCTCCACTTCGCGGCGCTATGAAATTTTCAACGAAGTCCTATGACGCCTATAAAGCATCGAAAGCTGAAGGGTTCTTGATTCCACCGCGAGTTTCTGCATCAGCCTCGTTTGTGACCGTCACCGGCGATCTTTTGCGCTATCATTTGTTAATTTCGAGCGAGATGGCGACGTTATTTCGCTCGTTATATCGCTTATGCATAATTACATACGTACACGACGGAATTAAAGGGCGCCAAGTGTATCAGTTAGATGTTATCAATAACCATAAGAGCGCATAAACATAATACCGTTGCCAAAGTAGGACACAGCGAGTTTGTCGTCTCTTCCTCCCCGTCACCCTCTTCTCCCTCCTATCCCCTTGCTCTTCACGTACTCTATGTTCTCTCTGTTATTTGAGATCGCGCCGTGTTTCGAAGGACTCTGCGGAGACTTGTTTGTCATGCGAGTTTTCAAGCACATATCCGGTAAAGTGACGAACAGATTAAACACTGGAATGCATATGTGAATAAACGAATCGACGCGACTGTCAATCGCGAGAAGAACTCGAAGCACTTTAAGCCGGCGTCGGCGCTCGAGCCATGCTGTAATTTAACTCGCGTACCTCGACGTCGTATCGTTATCGCGCATTACGTATAATTATAAAATATATATATATATATATATAAACATTTATAATATTATATATTGCAAGATATGTAGCGGCCGTAATTAAATTGCGGAGAAACGTAAAGGCTTGATAAATAAATGCTCCGTGTAAATATGAGACTGCTGCAACTTTGATGGGGCAAATAAATACGCCACAAAGTTATACAGTTATCATTTAGCGAACATTAAGAAAACGCTGAAAGTTTTTCACAAACGAGCGCGTCTCATTCGTTGTCTTCTTATTATTATACCGCGCGTAACAACCCTTCTCGCCCGCGGAGCTCTTTACAACTGTAATTCTTCGTTTATGGAATACGGAGCTGGCGGCAGCCCGTTGTATATTTCACCGCAAACACGCTTTACAGAACGTTGATAATTTCTCCCGAGTATATGAGTGTACGAAGCGAAAGATTCGAATCGGGAATGGATACAAATTGCGGAGAAGTTTTCCAACAGTGAAGATGTACATCACGCGATTCGATGCATTTCGCTTCAGCGAAAAGGCGAAAAATTTATCCTCCGCAACAAAAGTGCTTGACAATCGTTCTCCGTCGGATATTTTCCACTTGACCTTTGTCCCTTCGTTATCTCAACTTTGGATACTGGGTCGCTTCGATCTGCTTCTAATTGAATCTTCTTGATTGTCACTTTGTGACAATCAATCGCGACGTAAAGGAGGGGGGGGGGGGACGAATACACCAAGTTTCGCCCGCAGTATCTTTTTGAGAAATTATCGAACTGTGATCCTTGCCACATTCGAGTTCACACGGTTTACACGAACGTGGACAAGGTCGTGAAATTTCCATCTATCTAATTTCTACATTTAACACTCGGAGCATTAAGTTGGGACTGCGGACGGTTTGTTGTGTCTTAGATATATACGTGCTATTTACTCCATTCCACAAATTACCAGGGTTGCAATAAGTCTCTCTATTTCTCTTATCTCTCCGCCTTTCCCTCCACCGATCCTTCGCAGGCGATGCTTTAAATCGTGCTGTTTAGTGTTCCAGGATTTTATGGTTCATTTCCCGGGATCAGCCATGTTGTTTCCACAGATGCGTACCTGCGCGAGATTAAGTCATATATCTCGAAATATTCAGAAACTTGCCTCACCTTACGACGACATTTGTATTCTCGTTTGTAACGCTGTTGTTTTCTCATATTTAAATATGATCTGGGCATTTACATAGTCACAGAGAAAAGATGAAAGGAAAAAAGAAAGAAGGGGAGAAAAAGAGCTGATTTTTAAGTTATTAGTGTAGCTATTAGACGTTGACTATCATCGTTCTCATCGTTTCAAAAATATTAAATTTTCATTAAAGGATTTCTAATGAGACAGAAACGATAAGATCAATGAACTTGAAATTTTCACGGTATATTCATTAATATTCAAAATATAAAATAAATTTTATAGAATCATAAGAACCGATCCAATTTGTAATTATGAATAAAAATGCAGTCATCCGTTTGCAAGCTCTATGTTTGCTGTCGACATAATTCCGAGCCTCTCACTACTCTGAAACCAAAAAATGAGAAAGATTTTCAAAATATACGGTTGCCACTATAGCCCGTACCAAAATGAAGTCAGTGAAGCCAAGTTTGGAAAAATAATGACTGTACAAAAAAAAGTATCGAAAGTGAAATTTTTTTCAACTTATAATTATGTTTAAAAAAAATGAATAAAATAAAACATAACTGTGTTTGAGGAGCGAAAACTACATGTCTACTGTATATTGTACAAAAATTTCAAGTTATTCGGTTTTTACGCAATCGTGTTGACAGTTTAAGAGAATGATGTTTTCAGATAAACGCGTTTAAAGTTTTATGTGTACTTTCCATATAGATAGTAACAAATTTATTTTATACTTTAAACATTAATGAATACACTGCGCAAATTTCAAGTCCATTGATTCCACCGTTTCTGTTAAAGAAAATTTGTAAAAATAGCTTTGAAAACGGCCTGCTCCGCATGTAATTCCCCCTTGAATAAGTCCGAAAATCACATCTCCGTTTGGCGGACATCGCGCTATGGCGGCCGAAGGACAATCCATTCTATTACAATGCAAGCGTGTATGCGTCCACACGTCAGCGTTCAGTGCGCACGTTAGCGTTGAAATATATATCAGTTCGCCTTACAGGCCCTCTCGAATGAGCACGTAATGTGCATGACGTCTTACGTGAGACATATGACACCGTAAACGCGGACACATAGCTATTTCCCTACGGCTGTCGCACGATCACTCCCACGCAAAATTTCATCGTCACGCACGAGGATGATTTCACAGATTGTATGAATATTCAACCATGATTTGTCCGACCCTAGGAGGGACCTCGAAATTACAAGGGACGCGTTAACTTTACGTTAACATCAGAATGAAATACTCATATTCACGGGGAGACGCTTTGCATCTGTTACCCCGCAAATGATCGTCCTCGAACGCGATTCTCAATATCCCCTCCATCAGCCAATTACATACGTGCGTGCGTGTGTGTGTGTGTGTGTGTGTAACTCATGCATGAAAATGAATTTCCGGGTACGCACTTGGGGCTCCAAAGGGACGGTATCTCAAACGACCGAATCAACGATCCAATAATACGCTTTTCGCAAATAGTCCTCAAATCGATACTATCGATGTTGAAGCACGCTTCTCTCCGAACGACTCGTGACTGATCGTTACGTTTTCGCGATGTTTAATATCCCTAAGTCACGCTCGTACTGTTTATTAGACGGGCTAAGGCACTGCCGGACTCTCTCACGCTGCTTCGGCGCAGCTCTACATAGAGAGCAGAGTACAACAAGAGTGAAGTACAAGATTGATATCCCGTGGAGATGCTGACGGATTGTCAGAATTATTTTTATGTACCGGCAAGATCATCGCGCATCGCACTCTAAAAGAATAACTTTTTTACGCTTCAGCTACCGACGTCGCACATGCCGTATTTCACGAAAAATCAACTTTTCGAATGTGTGATAGAAGGAGCAAACCATGTGTATTTTATACAATTACGTGAGTGAGAAAAGAATACGAAGTGGTTGGCGGGAAGGATTTTCCAAATAACGACGAACGCGTGAATGCCTTATCCTGCATTTTCTCAGACCTCCCTCCAGAAAAATTTGCTACCGCACGTGCAAATGCAGTCACGATTTGTGATATTGAGGTAATAATGATATCCTCTTGCTCTATCACGCACACGCGTGCGTGCGTTGCGGAATTTTTATGACGCGGAGATTTTTTTCCGCACACGATGTCCGGTATGCGCAATTTCAATCACGTTTCTCCCCTCCCCCCCATTTACGTCGATATTCCCCGACGACTCATACGTGCATTCGTTTGCAAAACAGTTAGAATAAATTTCTTTTTTTTCGATGCATTTCGAAACACTGCCTTAGTCCAATGGGAGAATCTTTCTAAGTGATTCTCGGAAGATACGTTCCTTCATTCGATGGACAGATTCTCGTGGGACGCGCCATGGAAACACGTCGAAATGCGAGTGTTGAAAACACTTGTTCTACAAACGAGTGTACGTAACAAAGTCGCAATTTTCCAGCGGAACGGGCAAATCTTCATCCGTCGATCAATCGAAGAGCCGGCTAAGCCGAAGCGAGGCAGGCCGGAGCTGCGGTTCACCGCGAATCCATTATCTCGGAGTAGCGAGTGACAAGTCGGCTCAGAAATTAACGGGTAATATCGTAATTCAGGCATCGAGACCGCAGCGTTGATACACGTGTAAGAATCGATCATTTCAAGACGGGCCGCATATATACACGCACGCGACTGATACGATTATTAATCGAACGGCCGCGTTAAATTGTGTTCGTACGATTGTACGGAGAAGACGGAAATGGGGGTCGCACTCGTCCTTTTAACCCTCTTGCGGTTCTATTCACTGGCAGAAATTAGTATCAAAATGGTTAAATTTTTTCAGCGGAGGAAAATATTTATTTTCATGTTTTATAATAGTTTTCGAACTTGCTGATTTCAAATTTGAGGTTGCTGTTGCAAAATTCAAAATGGCCGGTCAAAAATGGCGAACCTGAAAGTAGTAAATCTTATCCCGAATCAGATTCGAGTTTAACCGTAAGCGGTTAATGATCTTCCTTTCGAGCCTCCTTCCTTCCCAACGCCCAATGTATAATTTCGCGTCCGCCAGCGCGGCCATTCGCGCGTATTATTATCGGAAAACTGTGCCTTAGGTAAAACGGAAGCGTGCTATGAACTACCTTCCTTGGTCCGAAACGCGGACTACAAATAATCACGGCCATTAACCGCGCTAGCGCGGCGCTCTGCACCGGCTAACATCCTTTTATTGCCACTTTTAGTACGGTGGATGTGTGTAACGCGCGCCTGTAAAAACTGCGGCGGCGTTGATTTACGAGGAGATGCGTGCCCGATATTCCCGACATTTCCTCTGATAGACTCTTTTAAGAACTGTTAATATGTTCCTCAATGTTGACACGCACTTTCGTGACATTTCTTCCGAGTGGGTCGTCGTGTGACTTCTGAGATTATTATCACACAAAGCGTACATATTACAAGACCCGCACATCTAAACGGCTCAATTGCAATTAATTAGGAACGTGCATTGTAAAGGAAAAAAATAAGAAGAAACGTGCCACAGTTCGTGCGTTGACGGACAAAACGCAAAGGAGCAACGCTGCGCAGATAATAACGGCATTGTCGCGATCAATGTGGCTGGACGGTTCGCCAAGGTAATTGAGAAAGACGCGAGGCGAAGGAGAGAGAGAGAGAGAGAGAGAGAGAGAGAGAAGTACGATCGTTTTACAACGCATCAGGTTCCTCGTTCGATTTGCCGAGATACGGTAGCTAAGGGAATCATAAAGTCCGGTGACCGTCCTCAAACGGACCTTTAGAGTCGCGAACTCTTCTCTTCGGAAAGGTCGGTGCGATTGTAGCGTCGCTACCGGAAGATATTTATGACGATCGCGTAATGAATCTGGATGTTCCGTGTAATGAGAAATGACGCCAGGAAGAGGGTTGTTCGCGGACCCTCCGGGACGTCTTTGTAAAATATATCTCCGTCATGTGTCCCCTCCATCTTCTCGCTACCTTTCCTTTCCTTCCGTGCTCCGTCTTTCCGCTTACCCAGCTTTCACGGCTTTGCCGGATGTACTTTGCGCATTGTAATATCTGCCTAAGGCATTTTAGATCGTTTCCTCGCTTTACTGGTCAAGTTGGCGGACGAAGTAGGTCGTCGTTGTGAAATTATACTCGGAGAGTGTCCCAGCTGTCGTTCTTCCCGTGGCGCGATTTTATGCGGTTTTATGCAACGATATGCAATCGATTAATTTCTCCCGAGGGACGCGACTATAATCACCTGTAAGGGCGATTAAGTACGCTGTAATCGAGGGCCAGGGTGGGGTAACAGTTTAAGTCGAGTTCACCCTGTACTTCGTTTTCAAAACTATTTCTTTCATATTTCGATGTTCTATCTGAGCCCCGTGAATGGTTACGAGTAAAACTTCACTTTCTCCTTCGAAGATTTTTCTCTGAGATTTTTTCTATTTTAAACCGTAAGCCCGCTCGGAAATTAAATGCACGGTGACAATGCTCGCGGTTGCCAAGATTCCGGTGTGTGTTTCGTGTGTCAAGCTAAACGACGAGCTCAACGACGAATTGCGCGGTTCAAACAACCAAATCACGAACTACAAATTGTCTTTCTTTCGCCACAGGCTTGGAAGCTCGGCATGCACGGCGGCGATTACGCGTGGATCCTGCCGAGCGATACGATCGACTTGTCGGAGATGACGGGAGATTGGTGGTACGCCGGTATGGGAGAGTGCTCACCGTCTCAACTATCGCAAACTTTGGACGGTTTAATCATCGTGAAGAGCCACGCCACGATCGTCGGGGATGAGATCAGCGCGTCGGGATTGGTACGTTGTTTCTTCGCTGTTGGCGGAATTGCGCGTCGCGCACCGAGAGCGTGAAAAACCTGTAAAAAGTGCGCAGCCGAAAGTGCCCGATTCAACGGAGAGGAGAAAGGAAGACCAGGGGGTTATGAATTAATCATGTCATGCGTGGCAAGTAAAGCAATTTAAACGACACAAGCAGCACGTGGAGAGCCCGCCGAGTTCCTCGCGATTTCTTTGATCTATACGTGCCCTTTGATCTGGAGTCGATACTCATCGCGCAAAAATTGCATTTAACGCTTTATTAACTTCCCGCTCTCTCTCTGTTTACACCGTTTCAATGAAGCTCGCGGACCACGTGCTCGATGAATAAAAAAAAAAGGAAGAAAGGAGGAAAGGTAAAAAATAGCAAAGAAGAGGGGAGGGGAGGAATTGATGGTCGTTCTGGCCATTACTGCTAACGACAGCGGTAATTGTAAAATTCTGCGTCTCATAAACGGAAGCGAAGATGCGGAAGCTTAATCGCGGGGCTGTTGCAATAATAACCCCCTTGCCGCTGCCGCCCCCGTTGCTGCCGCCATCGTTGCTGCCATCCCCGTCGTCATCGTCGTCGTTGTCGTCGACGTCGCCGTCGTTGCCGTTACTGCAGCAACCTAACGCGTAATAAATGAAGTCCCGCGAGCGGAAATTAGAGTATGCAGCGAGAAGAAAGCTGCGAGGTCCCACGGCGCGTTATATAGACGCGAGCTCACCTTCCATTCTGTTCCATTAAAGGCCCGTATGGCAAACGTCAAAGTAGAGAGAAAGAGAGGGAGAGAGAGAGAGAGAGAGAGAGAGAGAGAGAGAGAGAGAGAGAGAGAGAGACGCAGGTCGGACGCGCGAGCACGGCCTTTCACACGTTGAGCTTTCTATAGCCGGGTAATCAGTCTAATGACGAGCCGCCATAATCGACACTCGCGTCAAAGTTGCCGTCGATTTTCGAGCACTCTCGGAAATAACAGCGTCGCGAAAATAGACGACGCCTCCTGCAGGTCGCGCCGTGGCGCGAGCGTGCGCGCGAATTGTGTATGTCGTACTTTTCACGTCCGACCGACATCTTCCAGAATACGTTTCCAATATAGATCTGTCGCCTGGAGCACGTCGCGGGATACACGCTTCCTCTCTGTCTCTCTTTCTCTCCTGATATCGTCATGAATAATTTCACGCCGCCACGTATCCGTGTAATTTCTCGTGCCATCCGCGGTGATAAAAATACAAGGACATTTGATACGGCAACTTTTATGACGCTATTAATAAACGCGAGCGCGCGAATAGAGGGAGCGCAGCTGACTTTTTGGTAACTGACGTTAGAGTAAAAAAAGAAAAAGTATCCATTAACGAGGTTAAAAAATAAACTGCTACTAATGACGCTATTCACCCAGGGAGGGATGGGCCAGGGACTGAAAATCCTCCCGTATTCGAGTGAAGCGTCCTAATTGTTCATAAATTATGGCGCGATATCGAGGTATTAATTAGCGCGGACGTGTGCAGAAGAGCGAATTTGAGATTCCCTGCAAAGTGACGCACGGATTTTTCGACTGTTGATACCGGCGGGATCCAATGTTTTCTCGCGTTCCGCCAGTCAAACCGCCGGAAGACTATTCCAAGTATCCCGAACGACAAAGGGGAAAGATTCGACGATACAATTTTCCCCTTCAGCGCACACTCCCCGAAGTTCCGGTCCATAATGGAAAATTATAAATGCGAGTGTGCACAGTGTGCGACGCCTCGGCGAGTATCAGGAGTGGTACACCGAATAATTTCGACTCGCGCTTAACAAACTTGGCGCGAGATGCAGACTCGAGCGTGTTAATTGCGTGTTAATCTCTAATAAGATGCGAGTCACTTGATTAAATCGTGGCATCGTGGCAAGATCGAGAAACAAGAGTGCGTACCGCACTCGGGGAAAATTTTCTACTAAATAATATACCGTATCGCGTAACTGGGATCGATTTACCAGAGTACAAATTTGTATATTACTATCATATTACTATCATATGTTAATCATAAATTAATCGATTTATTATTATCTAAAGCATTACTATTAATTAATTATAATAGTTTTCTCGGATGTCTCTCCGACTGTACGGCATGAAAATAATGTATATTCTGGTTTTCCATATAATCTTCAATTATTTTGAATGATACACCTCATCCGGACACAAGGTAACACAATAATTTCTCACTGCACGAATGCTGATATTTTCTAGAAAGAGAGAAGAAAAAACTTTCGTCCGCGTGTACCTTTGTCACCATCGCGCAAATTAATATCGACCGATATTACCGAGAGCCGCGACGTCATCGTCGCTTCGCGCTTTATCAATTCAGACCGAGATGACATTATCAAAGACCACAGTTTGTTTCGCATGAACATTTTAATTGTCTTAACACATGGGCGATGAGATGTCATACATTAACGAGAAATAAAACTTCTCTTTTTCCCACACGCATACGCGCACACGCGCTCGCGCGTGTGCGTCGTGCCTTTCTCTTTTTTCCAAGCAAACAGAACACTCGCACGCGCGCGCGCATATATCTCGTTGGTACGAACGACAAATTAAATTAGTGTTCGCTCTCCCGTCGCGTCGATTCAAACGCCACCGCGCGCGTTCTCCGCCTCAATTTCTTTTAATTATACAACGAGATTCGCGAGTGCACGTTTTTCGCGAGGCTATGTCCAGCCGGTTGGTCTCCGTCCACCTCACCGTCCCCTTCGTTCATTTTGCAGACGAGCGCGAAATTCGCTTCGGAGCTGGCTAATAGAGGCGTCGCGCATTCGAAATTCGCGGGGCAAACATACGACGCCGTGTGGGCCATGGCACTCGCCCTCGCCAGGACCGAGGTCCTTCTGAACCGACAGAACGAGAGCATGGCGCGGTACACGCACACGAGAAAGGACCTGACCTACCGTTTGCTGGAGCAGCTTAAGCTGCTGCACTTTATCGGAGTTTCGGTTAGTCGGGACACAGTCGAAAGATAAGTAAAGCACCGTGAGAGAGACAGAGAGAGAGAGAGAGAGAGAGAGAGAGAGAGAGAGAGAGAGAGAGAGAGAGAGAGATAGAGAGAGAGAGAGAGAGAGAGAGAGAGAGAGAGAGCGCTCGTTTATTACGCACGACGTGGCGGAAAGCCACAAAGTGAAAGTACGATCGACCCCCTCGCATAGAGCCGACGATCCCCCAGCAGACTACCTTCGTAGCCTTTTCCTTCGCGGATTCGCTGATTGACGGTTGAGTTTTTCAAAGTCGAATTTTTCCTTGAAACTCTCTTTCTCTCTTTCTCTTTCATCGGGGCACTAACGATTGCCGCGAGGTTCGCGCGATCAAAGAGACAGAGCGATTTTAGCGAGGTAAGTTTAAAGTCGAGTCATTACACGAACGATGATTGACTGCAGCCTCTTCGTCGTCTCCGACGGGGGCAAGGAAGGTCGTCTTCGTAATGTCCAGCTCTCTTCGCAAACGCGCGAAGGCGACCATATAGCGGCGTCATTAATTTGATTAACGTTAAGTAAACTCGCGGTCGGAGATGGTGTACGCGTTTAATAATAATGAAACTCTAATTGCCTTTTATATTTCACGACGCGATTCCAGCAAGCGGACGGCCAGTCTGCGTTCTACATTTGTTCTCATTGTGTTCACAGGGACCGGTCTCTTTCGACGACGCGGACCGCGTTGGTATCACGGCGTTTTATCAGATGCACGGTAAGTTCAACCAGAGCCAATCCGGGCCAATGTCGACTATTGAGCCGGTGAAGTGATTCTCCCGCTCGGCGAAAAAAATGCGAAAATATTTCGCGAGACTATCGGCGCGAACTAAAGCGACGAAAGATTCAGCGACGTTTGGCGCGATGAACGCCATTTGTTGGCACAAATCGCAGCTTCACCGGCGCGCATTCCGCCTCTCTTTCTCTCTCTCTCTCTCTCTCTCTCTTCCTCTCTCTCTGTCTCTCTCTCCCTGTCGCTGGACTTTGCGCTTCATTCGTTCAAGTCCCACTGTGTCAACAACGGCCTGGGACACACAATGAGCAAGAGCTTACGTCACGGAGCACGATGGAACGATACAACCGGTCTGAAAGCGCTGACAATGGCTCGTTTCTAACGATGCGGCATATCGCGTATCCCTCTTGTTGGGAATAACTGGCGCGTGGACGCGCGGATAATCCAATTTATGAGTTTTCCGTGCGCGAGATGCGCCCGGTGTCCGCTAATACGAGCTGTTTAAAGGGCGTTTCCGCGTCGAGCTTTAAAGTCCCGAGCGGCAAAAGGCAACCGCGAGAGGAAACCCGTCACGCTCCGCGTGTCATCTTCTCGAATGGAAACGCGCGCGCGTGATCCTCCCTGCCGCGCGAATCACTTCGCGTGACGGCGTGGCGCATGATCTCGTGTGAAAGGAAATTGTTCATCCCTTGCTCTGATACGAAGAGAGCCCGAAAGATCAATCTCGCGCTGTGATCGGAGCTTCGCAAATTGCCTCGATATAACGTTTTCGCGTTTTTGCGAGCGGCGATCTGTGCCGAGGTGTCTCATGCATTTAAATGAACGCCAGTAACGATTATACGCGTCGTTTCGTCTTCCCGCACCTCGAGCTATACACTTGAATGTCCGATTAATCACTTACTACACTAGTTTGCACACGTGAGCAAATGCTGTCCCGGTGTAAATCGCACGTTAACCGCCGCGCAGACGGTGAATAAACGTTTCTAATTGACGCATGTCGCGACGCACGCACGGTGCGTTCATAAGCGATTTCATCAACTAAACCGGTGCTGCGTTCGCAAACAATCGCCGAAATTGCGTGACGACGGGATACAAAGGCGGCGACACAGACACACAGACGTGCAGTCGTGCGCGAGAAAATGTACAAAAATTCCAGACTCCTAATTTCAACGGCGACCTCGCGTGTCGCTCGCGGGCGTGGACGATGCAAAAATCGTCATCACATACGTGTGTGTGTGTGTGTGGATGCGCGTGTAAAAATAATTGCGCACAGCGCCGGGGACATAACGCCGGGGTATAACGTCACTTGCATTAAATTAAAAATTAAAGTCTCCTTTTTATCGTTAACGCAACGTTAACTGCGTTGTCGTTGCGCGTTCCTCGCTGATATCCGCACATAGTGGGTAGTAATCCGGAGGAACATCAGCGGGGAATGTCGCGCGCCGATGCTTCTCTCCCGCGATCGTTCTTCTCCGGTCCCTCCTCCGCTTCCCCTTGTCCACCTACGTGTTTTTTCCTTGCTCCTTGCCAAATGTATCGGCGCGCGTGTTCCGAGTAGGAAATTGACTGTGTTAACAGTGTCGCGAGACATTGCTTAATTGCACGCGTGAATCTCCGCTGTTTAGATCCCGGCGAACGAGACCTCCCCCCCCTTCGCCAATACGCCGATGCACCGTGCTCGCAAATCACGTTATCCCGTATTTCAGCGTGCGCGCACCTGAAGAGCGAGGAAGGCGCCCGAATGCGAACACGCGCCGTGTGGTAATCGGCCGGCGCTTTTATTTCTATTTTTCATCACGGAGATAAGCTATCTTTTCTTGTTTCGCCATTTTTCGCGCCGCTGCCTTCTCTTTCTCCTGCTCCCCCCCCCCCTCCCTCTCTCACCCTCCTGCGAGCTCTTTTTTGTTTTGCTCTCGCGTGACTTGATATATTATGCCGCTTGTATTCGCGGTATCGTCGGCCATGAAGCCCTTCGCCCATCGTCTGTAAGAACGATATCCTCGTGTTTCCTTGAAATATTGCAGAGCGGAGCGCTGGATTTATTTTCGCTTATTTATCGCAGATTTTATTATTAACCGGCGTGACTCGCCGTCGTCGTTCTGCCGTAACGCCGGGGCAAATCGGCATGAAAACTTCCTGCGAAATTTCCATTCATCCTCCGACAGCTCCTAGACTTCAGCAACTCCCTAGCTCGCAACGTAGCTCGACTGTGCGACTTGCTAACTTCGTTCGCGAAACTGGTATTGAATTATAAAACTGAGCGCCTCTCGCACTTATACAAAATCGCGATCAGACGTCTGTCTCTCGCGCATCTCGTGCTGCTTACTTACTCTCTTTGTCTATCTCGGCCTCTCTCTCTTTTCATCTCTCTTTTCCTCGCGAGAGTTTTCGCGGCCGTATCGTGATAAACAAGTGGATCAAATGGAAATGCAAAAGCAACAACCGCTACGAGAACGAGTGTGTTATCGCAGGTGTTGGTACGCGTGCGAGATAATAGAATGCGGAAATGCAACACCTGCAGCAGTAGACCAAACAATTCGGGCCCACTTTGGACTCTTCAGCGGCACGACTGAACCGGCGAACCAAATCAAGATTAGGTATACGCCGTGCGTGATATATGCAGCTGAGTTTAATCATCGGATTATTCGCCGCGCGCGATTCAGCGGGCAGATACGCCCGCTATTTAACGTTTCCTGTTTACCGTCGGAATGACATAATGTGCGAAGCCGAATATTTCCTACGTAACGCGAACTGGCTTAACGTGGAGGCCGCGTGTACCGATCATTTACTTTGTGTCACTTTGAACCGGATCAAACGCGAATCAATTAAACAAGTCTATACCGAGCGAAACTGCCGGACGTATAAAATGAAATTTATCGTTTGGCAAAAACCCGGGAGAACCAGGGGGAAGATTTTAAACGCTTCTCGTAGCGTTTTCTAAATCAGCTTTCTCGCGTTCCTCGGGGTGTAGATTCATAAATCTACCCGTTAATATGATATAAATTTATAGAATTATATACGCATACACTCGCGCAATCACACGCGCACACACGCGCAGACACAAATGTGCCTCTTTAAGAGAATGGATGTTGCAGGTTTCTGGCACGTGCTCGATACACGTCTCTCCGTGCATTATGCATCGCGTCCTGAAAATCGACGCACCTGTCTTGGTCTCAATATTTAATTGCAATCAATCACGACCACGTTAAATGCACCGGGCCAGACCTTATAGATTTCCAATACGGCATTAGCTCTTTTAGCACACCCGATCGTTTTTTCAGCCATCGTTTATTGCGTGACATCTCAATATTGGAAAAAGCGCCACAATGTGGCTCCCTTTTTTTTTTTCTTTTCTTTTTCTAGAGATTCTGGACACTACAAGCATTGCCATTGCTCTCTAAATCTCTCTTAAGCGATATCTTCAAGTAACTTTACACTGCTTGAATATGCAAAAATCGTCTGGTGACTTTTCTCCTCGTCAAAATGCATTATTTTCGCGATAATACGATAGAAATAAACAACAGTTATTAACAGTAAAATCGAAATAAACAATGGGTATTGCGAAAGAAAGCAAATAGCAAGGAAAATGACAGATCAAAGGAAACAATCGCTTGAAAAATTCAATTTCCTTCGGAAATTGACTAAGATTTCGCCTAGAGTCTGCAGATGAGAGTCTAGAGTCTGCGCGACATATTTATTTACTTTGCAACAACAGCTCCGAGCTCGCCTTTTGCGGGTACACGTAGACGCATCTTACAAAAATCACATCTGCTTCCACGCGAGCAATAAGATCCTCGCAGCGCGGAGGTAATATGAATAAGTCGTAGTTGCGATAAGAAAATCGAGCACTAACCGCGAATATGCGCGAGCGACGCAGCGGTTCCGCGATTCTCTCGACGCGTGAAATCCGCTTACGGTGTAATCATCGGCCAGTGGCCTTAAATTCGCATGCATTTCCTCAGCACCTCAACGGAGTTCCGATAACGTGGCGAAAATAAAAGTAGTGAATTGCATATTCAACCAGTTTTTTGCAGCGTCTTGTTGGAGCATCGTTCACGTCCCGGAAAGCGCAAGAAAGAAAGAAAGAGAGAAAGAAAGAGAGCGGACGAGAGCGAAAGCCGGTGGTTTTATTTTGCCGTCGCACAAGTGGAAGTTCCCGTGGAAGCTGCGTCCCACCGGCGGTCGAGTGAAGAGTTAGCGGAACCCGAAAATAAAGAATCGCTTAAGTCCCTCGTCGGCGCCGAAGTTTAATGCCGCTAAGGGCTTCCACAAGTTCCCGTCGCGGGAACGCGGAGCAGAGCAAACATCGGGTTGCCCGATGTCGTGGTTTATATGCCTGCCGGATACGACAATCGTCTCTCCGTCTAAGATACGAAACATGAGAGCAGCCGTTAGTCGTGAATCTTGCGGCAACATGGCCGACGATATTCAGCATTCTACATCGTTGGCAAAAAGTCAATGAATTATTAATGAGGGTAGACTCTCTTTTTCTCCCTCTCTCTCTCTCTCTCTCTCTCTCTCTCTCTCTCTCTCTCTCTCTCTCTCTCTCTCTCTCTCTCTCTCTCTCTCTCTCTCTCTCTCTCTCTCTCTCTCTCTCCCTCTCGTGAAATTGGCGGAAAGATGCGCGTAGGAACGAAGAGACCGGATATCAAGCTGAGCTCTGTTTGAAGAGAATGATATTACCGGACTTAACTAATATTTTCCATCATGAGACTCGCGAAGGATTGAAGTCGTCTAGAATCAGGCGCGAGCGCGTTTATATCGCGTTACCGACCGTATTAGGCTCGCAATGGTGAGCGAGGCTTAGGGGTGAAGAAAGGTGTGTGTCACGTATCACTCGTTAATATTATCTGATACAAGGGTGACATTACACATGAAAAATTAGCATTTTTGGCTGGCGCTACTTAACTCGTGCAGTTTCATTAACGTGTTAGCAATTACAGCGCTTGCAATTACTTCACGTCGCTCGGCTGGCTGCTGGTTTA